GGTACACGGCGTCTCTTCACACCTCCTGCTGTGAGCAGGAGCGCCCTCGTCCTCGGCACGGCGTGCGGTCTGCTGCCTCCCTCCGCCTCCACCTCCCAAGGCAGCGAGCGCCCACGAGACTCGATCATCTCTCGTTCACCTGTCGCCCATCCGTCTTCAACAATCGCTCCATCAGGAGAAGAGGGCGACGAGTACGCGCGGCTCGCCTCGCGGCTGCAGCTGCCTCCGCCGCTGGACCTGCTGCGCTCCGTCGCCCATGACCTCTGCGCGATGCTGCGTGCGGGCGTGGGAAGCGGCGGCACGACCGCCCTCCCTGCGCAGCGTCCCGCGCTGCGCTCTTTCTCCTTCACTCCCTCTGGCTGTGAACAGGCTCCCTCCGCGCGGTGCCCGTGCTGCACTCGTTCGACGCTGCACATGCCCGGGACACGTCCGCGACATGTCCGAGACATGTCCTACGTAGGTGCCCGTGCTGCACTCGTTCGACGCGGGCAGCGCCGCCCTCGTCTGCGCGGCGCCCGCGTGCGGCGGAGGGCCGCTCGGCGGGTGCGGCACCTCTCCTTTCCTCGAGCTGCCCCCCTCGTACTCGCAGCTGTACAACATGTACATCCACCGCCGCTGCTCCGTCTGCGGCACACCCGCCCGAAGCAGCCCGCCCCTGCTTATCAGCAATGGCCTCTTAACGAGAAGAGTTGTTAATTAGGCACTTGCCCGAAGCAGCCCGCCGTCTGCCTGCTCTGCGGTGCCATCGTCTGCACAGGCGGCCTGTGCTGGAGACACTTCCTAGACACTTCCTAGACACTTCCTAGACACTTCCTAGACACTTCCTAGACACTGCACAGGCGGCCAGTGCTGCCGCTCCGGCGGCGTGTCCTCGACACGTCCGCGACACGTCCCCTCGCATGCCCGATCAGGCGGCCAGTGCTGCCGCTCCGGCGGGGACGACGAGGTTGTGCAGCACGCGGCGAGCTGCGGGCACGGCGCGTGCGCTTTTGTGGTTGTGCGGACGACGACCACGCTGCTCGTGATCGGGCGGCTGCTCGCGGCGCGGTGCCGTCGAGGCGTGGAGCGGTCGCACCGACCTCGTCGTTGATTGCGGCGGTAGGCGGCAGCACTGCTGGTGGGGTTCGCTCTACCTGGACGTGCACGGCGAGGAGGACCGCAATTTGAGCCGCGGCCGCCCCCTCCTCCTTGCGCCTGGCCGGCTGCGCGAGCTGCAGCAGGTCTGGCGCTCCAACGGGTTGCGCGAGCTGCTCTACAACAACCAGCCGCCCTTCCCGCGCTTGCCACTCATGCTGATGCCCGCGCGCGATTGAGTGGGACGGAGCTGGATGCGATGGATGGAGGTAAGGTAAGGTAAGGTAAACTTCTCCACACACACGAGGGATGGACGGGGGGGATAAAAAAATGTTCCTGTTACGAAAAAGGGAGCTACCTGCTCCGGCGACACTAGGGACTCGGGCCTGATCCCGCACAAAACACATCTCCACACTCTCTCCTCTCCTGGCTAGTTCCAATTCACTCTGACACGGCTAGTGCCATTTCACTGTGGCACAGCTCGCGTTACAAAACCTTGATTTGACCATTTGCGCCATTTTGTCCCTCTCGGTGCCTTCCAGAGGCAGCTGCGAGCTGCTTACAGCGTCAAGTGCGAGGTCGCCGGCCCGTGGCTCCGCCGTCGGCTCCGCCAACCTGGTTTGTGGAGCTCCCACACCTGTCTAGACAGTCCTGAGCCTGTCCAGACAGCGTCCAGACAGTGTCCAGACAGCGTCCAGACAGCGTCCAGACAGCGTCCAGACAGCGTCCAGACAGTGGCACATGGCTCCACTCTTCACAGCAAAGTCTCGTAGTCGTGGCTGGACGGCCCCTGACAGCACCCCTGGCGCTGCCGAGGCCACTCCCCACCCGCACCCACCCACCCACATACACACCTAGATACACACCGCTCTACTTGTTTGTCGGGGGGGGGGGGGGGGGGCAGTGCGTCTAGACAGCAGAACTTAACAGAACTTGAGACCTTGAACTTTCAAACTTGTAGTTTTGTCTAGACAGCTGTCTAGACAGGCCCTCTTCACATTGGGTGGCGATGTTTTGCTGAGGGGTGGCCCGTCTACCGTCTACCGGTAGACTGGGGTAGACTGGGGTAGACGGTAGACCATTTGGTAGACGAGTCTACCGCAGTCTACCGGTAGACCGTAATGAACCTACGACCCCAGTCTACCGGTAGACTTGGTAGACCGCGGTAGACTCGTCTACCCCTTTTTCAGCCGCCGAACGGTAGACCGCCGCCGCCGGACGGTAGACCGCCTCGGCCGTTTGAATATGCAGCCTCCAGTTCTCCACTCTGGTGCCACTTTGGCAGACGAGCGCCGGCAGATGCCCTCGCGGCCTGCCGGCGAACGTCCGTCCGGCGAGAACGCGCGCCATAATGGACGTGTGGCTGTCTGGCGAAAACTCGCTCTCGAGAGCCGCGAGAGGGCGGCGCTCTGCAGTGAGCGGCTCCGCCCGATGAGTTCTGTAAAGCCCTTCATTTTC